TCTAAATTTTGCCATTGTTGACCTCAAACAGGGAATCATGATATGCACTATGTTCAGATAACACCTCATTTTCACTGTATTTTCATTTTTGATTCAGAATCCTTAATTTTCTTTCAAGCCATCCAACAGAGTCTTATTAGAAAGATGAAACAAGTGCAACAAAGATAGCTCCAGAATGAATTGCCAGAGAAGAGAACAGAACAGAACATAAAGCCTCACATTTATGGCAAAATCTAGAAAAAGGTCCTTTCAAGAACATCAAGAACACACAAACACACACACAAATTCGACCATACTATAGCTCAAACGTCACCTCCATGTTCACTTCGTAATGTCTTTTTTGTTTATGCATCTATGGATGTCAAAATTAGAGACGACGAACAGTCTCCTAAATTGTAAAAATAGCTTCAAATTAGGTTATATGTCAAAGTCTTTCCTCTTGAACATTGGAGATAATTTTTTGTGTGGCCACAGGCACATGGAAATTGTAATTGAAATGCAGATTACTTGAAAATATTGTTGTGATGTATCAGTGGATTAGTCTATTATGAACTGTTTCATGAAGACAAAGATTGAGCCAGTTTCAGTTGGTTCTCTACACATCCTTCATCAACTCGGCTTGCTTTGAATCAGGGTTAAACTAACTATACTAAAGAGTATATTTAAAGGCATGAAAAGGATCCAAAGCTATGACAAGAAAGACAACTTGGGAATCAGATTCATGTTCTTATGCGGTATGAAGGTTTATTAAGAATCTTGTTTACAAGTTCAAAATCCGAAAAACATTTACCAAGAGTTTTTAAACCATTGACGACATCCGTGAAACGGGTGTACATGTCAACAATGGTTTCGCTCGACTTCATTCGAAAAAGCTTGAAATCATGTATTAAAAAATTAATTTTCAAAATTTTAACATTGCTAGTCCCTTCATGTGTTATTTCAAGAGTGCACCAAATATCGAAAGTCGTTTTGCAAGTAGAAACACGATTAAACTCATTTCTATCTAAGGCACAAAATAAGACATTCATAGCTTTTGCATTTAGAGAAAACGTCTTCTTTTCCAAATCATTCCAATGATTCATTGGAAGAGAAGATATTTTAAAACCAAATTCGACTATATACCATAAATCAAGATTCAATGAAAGTAAGAAAACTCTCATTCGAGTTTTTCAAAAAGTGTAGTCCGTCCTATTAAAAAAGGAAGGACAAAAGAGAGAGTGAACATCTTGAAAGCCGAAAAGAGTCATTTCTCCTAGGTGTTAATCCAAATGAGAAATCACGAGGCTTTGATACCAATTATTAGGATCGGGATCGACACTAAGAGGTGGGGTGAATTAGTGCAGTAGTAAAATAACGTCGGTTTAAAAACTTCTGTCGCAAATCACTATTCTTTTCTCTCTGTGATTACTTGTACGATAAAAGTGGAATCTTAAGACGTTTGATGATGGAGATTTAGACTTAAGACCCGACTGAAGGATTCTACTGTATCCGTGCGGCACCTCCTCAGGATTCCACAGGAAGATGAACGCTAACCAGTATGCCAAATGCCAGTTGCAGGCGGTCAAGTCTTTCTGGGTTCTTCGGTGTCGTTTCCAAGCATTGAGAATTGACATGCTACGACTCTCTTAATTATCGTGTATCCATCGATGACTGACACAAGAACTGTCCCAAAGTCTATCTCTTGCATGCAGGTTCTTATGGTACTGAGCTCTTGATCGAACCTGATGATTACAATCATATCTAAGCAGGTTCGAATGGAGCATATTAATCTTTAGGAAAATACTAGTATTGACTCTCACTATATGCTATGTTTATATTATACATGTGTGTATATATATCGTAGACCTGACTTTGCTGGCGTAGACTCCACCAAGTCTACGCCATATGTGTGTAAGCGTGTTGACTGAAAGATGTCTTATCTTCAGGAAAGAAAAGTCATGGATCTGACTTTGCAAGTCTTCCATCTCTTGTCTAAATTTTGCCATTGTTGACCTCAAACAGGGAATCATGATATGCACTATGTTCAGATAACACCTCATTTTCACTGTATTTTCATTTTTGATTCAGAATCCTTAATTTTCTTTCAAACCATCCAACAGAGTCTTATTAGAAAGATGAAACAAGTGCAACAAAGATAGCTCCAGAATGAATTGCCAGAGAAGAGAACAGAACAGAACATAAAGTCTCACATTTATGGCAAAATCTAGAAAAAGGTCCTTTCAAGAACATCAAGAACACACAAACACACACACAAATTCGACCATACTATAGCTCAAACGTCACCTCCATGTTCACTTCGTAAGACTCATCGGATCCCCCAAAGGAATCCTCCGGCACCGAACTTGATTCATCGTAACCTCCATCTTGAGTCATCATCCAATCTGATCCATCGTCGCAGCCATCTTGATTCCAGTGATAGCCGGAGCTGCTACCACCGACGTCGCCGTCTTCTTCACCAGTTGTGTCGGGTATGTCGCCTTCGTCGTTATGATGTTCAACGCTTTCAGTGCCTTCACCGTTGTGATGTTCTTCGCTTTTGGTGCCTTCGCCGTTCTGCTGTTCTCTGCTTCCAGTACCTTCACCGTTTTGCTGTTCCACGCTATTGTTAGATCCCTGAGTCGCCTGGTTCATCTGTGGCGGCTGCGTCCACAGTGGCCGCGGTGGCTGCAGTAGTCCTGGTGGCAGCAGTGGCCGCAGTGGCTGCAGTAGTCCCGGCAGCAGTGGCCGCAGTGGCTGCAGTAGTCCCGGAGGCAACAGTGACAGCGGTGGAGCCAGTTGCTGTGGCGCAAATGGCCTCTGAAAACCCTGTTGCTGCGATGTCGGTAGCCGCGGGCCCTGTTGCTGCGACGTACGTGGCCTTCGCGCTGCCTGTTGCTGTGGCGTAGATGGTCTCGGCGAGGCCTGCTGCAGTGGCGCAGATGGCCTCGGCGAAGCCTGCTGCTGCCGTGGCGTAGGTGTTCGCGCAGGAGCCTGTTGCTGTGGTTTTGGTGTTCGCGCTGGAGCCTGTTGCTGTGTCGTCGGAGTTCGCGCCAGAGGCTGCAAAGTCCCACCCGTCGCACACCCGATATGGGCATCGAATTCGCAGGCCGCGCAGCGGTAGAGCCAGTGGTTCAAGCCCGCGTCCCCACAGATATCACACGAGAACCCCTTGTCCTCGTAAGGAGGAGAGAAGATGAGGTTGAGAGGGTGAGGGTGCGTGCGATGGTTGATGGTGAGCGGCTTGGCGGCGCACTGACAGTGCAACCGGAAGCCACAGGGATCGCAGTAAAACGTGAAGCCGCTGCTGCTGCGGCCGCACGCGTCGCAGTTGGAAGGGCCGTCTTTGGAAGGGGGCGTGGCGAAGAGGTTGACGGAGTGCGGATGCGCGGGATGGCGGATGCGCCGCGGCATCTTGGCGCAGGAGACGTCCAAGACGTAGTTGCATGCCTTGCAAGAGTAGACACATCCGGCGGCCGGAGAGGCGCAACCAGCGCAGATCGTCGGGGTCAGCGCCTGCTCCAGAGACGTGAGCTCGAGAGGATGGGGATGGCAGAAATGGCTGATCCATGGATCGTCGCCCGAAGGGTGGGGATGAGTCGAATGGTTGGTCCTTGGAGCATTGCCGGCGTTGCCCAGCCTCCCCATCGTCTCCTCTGCCTTCTGTGGAGACCTTGTTCTTTGGTATCCATCATATGAGGGAATGGGATGCAGATGAAGTCAACCATGGGAACTGGTTTGACAAAGATGTACAACTCAATCTGCTACGTGGGCGCACGCTGATTTCCGTAATTTCCGGAACTGCGGCTGCGGCTTGGGTTGGCAGACGTTGACTTTTTCTTCGTTGAAGGTGGTGCACGTCGATGGTTGCTTTCCCTTTCCTTCTACGTTCATTGTTGCGTATGCAAGGATAAATAACTAGTAAAATAACCATGGTTTAGCGTATCGAGTAGTAAATGATCGGTATATTATATATCTCAGAGGCTCTTCGGCTTAATTTGAATGAGGAAGAGAATCCGAACCATCAATTGAAGGTCACAAGACGAGAAAAATGCGATGTCTAAGCGGAGGCTAAATCGTTCATGCATCAGCCTATCCACAACCACCTAACTTTGACTTGGCAGAGTCGTTTACTGCCGGACGCAGCTCTGTACCCCATCTAAAATCTTGTCTTTAGATTCTGTTTCCATCCATATAAGACAGTTCGACTCCGCAAAGCTTAGTTGACTTTGACTCTACGGAGTCGTCGTGTAAAGCTTGCATGAATTGGTTTTCTGAAATCCCAACCTGTTTCTGACGTAAAACCCTTAGTTGACTTATTGTATTTTTTAATACAATAGTTTGATATCATCCACCACAGTTCTCATGGATTAAGTAACAGAGAGGTATCTACAAATCATATAATATGATCTGATCCTGATCTGCTCACGACTTGCAGCATGTAGTCCAACCAATATAGCAACCCCCTCCGCTTGTATCGACGACGACGCCGTCTTGTTGCCCGTAGAGCTCACAGACGACCAGTATAGGCATCAAATGAGCCATCTTAATCTAGTATAGATACTTCCCGGCAAACATTGTATACATCTGCATCGACTCAATTAAGAGTTCCCTCAGAAGAAATCTGAAATTGATCATTGGTAGTATCTACCATCTTTCTCCAAATAGAGATAAGACAGCTTTCGTCCGCCGCCCCAATCACTCCCCTTCCGGTGATACGTATAGCTTCATCTTGAGAGTCTTCATGTACTTCTTCACTAGCTACCAATTACTTTCAATTTTTGATAGAATTCTGCCAAATCTCTCGATCATTTGGTTTCAGTTCATAAATGGTCTTCTTTTCCTTCCGTGATAAGGAGATTGGTGCCCAGGATTCAGTGAGAGTGAGACCACAAGAAAAAAGAATGATAAGAGGAGGAAAGAAAAATGAACGGTGAGGATCATATTTATTATCAAGAACTCATGGGCCCCACGCCTCATTTCAGGTCATGAAGAACTTGCGGGCCCCGTGCGTCATCCGTTAACCGCCTCAAATGCACCTCTTACCGGTCGTGCGGAATCCCACCCCCGCTTTGCTCCCCCAGCGGAAATCCACCGAGATGGCCGTCGGAGGAGCTGCCGCCGCGCGGCTCGCGCTCCTTACGCCGCCCTTCTCCGGCCGCTCCACGCTGCTGCAGCCGTCGACGTGTCGTGTCCTCATCCAGAAGCCGAGGCGGCGGCGGCGGACATCCCTCCGTCCCATCTCGTCCTCTTTGGTGGAAGAAGGGCAGCAGCTCTGCTTCAGCGATCCCGAGGCCGCACTCGTCGAAGCCCTACTCGGGATCCAGGGGAGAGGCCGCGCCGCATCTTCTGGGCAACTGCAGGCACCGTTCTTTCCTTTGATTCGACACATTCTCCGCCTTTTCTTGGAACATCCTTCTTTAGAATCGTCTGCAGTCTTTTGGGAATGCGTGTTAGGCGATTCTTGAATTGAACTCCTTGCAGGACGTCGAGCTCGCGGTGGAAACCCTTGAGAATCTGGGAGGCGTGCCGGATCCTGTGAGTCCCCTTTTAGGTTTCTTGAGAATCTTTTACCTCTCTGTTGTTCTTTTTGGTTTCGTGATACTCCTATGTCATGCAATCGCTGGTTTCATTGTGGCAACAAGATCCCCTGTTAGGTATCTCGAAAATCTTTTATTTCTTGATTTCTTTTTGGTTTCGTGCTACTTCTATGTCATGCGATCGTTGATTTCCTTGCGGCAACAAGTTCCCCTGTTAGGTTCTTGAAAAATTTTCTCTCTGATGTTCGTGTTGGTTTCTTGTTACTTCCATGTCATGCAATCGATGATTTCCTTGTGGCAACAAGATCCCCTGTTGGGTTTCTTGAAACTCTTTTACCGCTCTATGTTCCTTTTGGTTTCGTGCTACTTCTATGCCATGCAATCGCTGATTTCCTTGCGGCAACAAGACGTATCGTTCTCATGCGTGCATCTTTGTTAGGCCTCAAGAAATCAGCAATATTAGATTAAGTGCTATAAACCCTTGTGCTATTATCCTCAAGATTGTGTGGATTTAGCCACAGGAACAAGATGTGAATGTGTGTCAGAATCTATGCATCAAGGAGACTAAAAGAAGAAGAACATGCAGAGAAAAATTAATTGATTACATGTGATAAATAAGCATTCATGATGTTAAAAATATAAATCTCCAAGCCCAGTGATCCAGAAAGATTTATTTCTCTCAATATATTAAATTTATTATGAAAGAATTTAACAAGTGTTTGAGACATGTCTAAGATATACATCGTCAGTTTGGACTAAAGCTTAATATGTTGCTGAATTTATACAGTTCACTCTTTTGCAGACAAGCTCCAGTTTGATTGAAGGTCGCTGGCAACTAATTTTCACTACGAGACCTGGGACAGCATCCCCAATTCAAGTGAGATGACATTACCATGCACTATTAATCCTCTTTAAGATAATTTTTGGCCTGTCCTATTTATGTAGTTGCTTTTGCTAAAGCATGAAATTGAAGCCAAAGAATGGGAAGCTTGTTGTTGGCCTGTTCTATTTATCTGTCTGATAGCTCTCCTATATATATATATATATATATATATATATATATATATATATATATATATATATAT